GGAGCTGGGCGGCCACTGGCATGCTCGAGGCCAATACTAGGGGCATGGAGGAGGCGCCCGGTGGTGCGGGAGGCGCAGAGGAGGTGGCCTCCGGCTCCCGGCGGTGTTAGGGTACGCGTTGTCGCGGAGAAAGAGCAGGGGACGGGTGAGGAGTGAGAGGAGCGACTGAGTGAGGGAAGGGAGGGGGTGTCCACGGTGCCCGAGCGAGTGCGGCGTGGGGAGGGGCTACGCGTGCGCGGGAGGGAGGAGAAGGGAGTTAGGGTTGAGGGGGCGTGGGGGCATGGGCCTCTTTACTCTTAGCAGGCCAGGCGCCCAGGCCGCCACCGGGCCATGCCGTGCCGGCACGTCGTTCCTGGGGTAAGGCCCGGGCATGCCTTGCTCTTTCGGGTCATGCCAGCCCGGGCCCGCTGGCCACTGGGCCGAGCCAAAAAACGAGCCTCATGCCGGGCTGACATGCTCGGGCTGCATGCCCATATACATGCAAAGTATGTGATTAAAGTGTGATTGTGATAAAGATAAAAACACATAATTAAGGACACTTGTCTTCCTTGACTAGACGATATTGATTAGAGACTTTGAGGTTTGAACTCCTGGTCTTGCAGATTCACGAACTGCTCTCCTTTTATATGCACGACAATCTTCGAAGCAATATACATGCAAGCAAGCGAAAGAAATAAAACAAAAGCAATACATTAAACAATAACAAAAATACAGAAAAGGTATGCAAAAAACTGTAGAACACATTGCTACGACGCGTGAGCCAAAGTTTCATCACAAACATATTTAAAACATGAAAATTAAGAGGTTTGGAAGTTTTCATTGGTACATTAGTTGAAAAAACAAAGGTTTAGCACATTTTCTTAAAACTATCGAGACTCAGTAATTTTCACCAGTAAAAGACTGGTCTCCCCATGGTTGACCGAGTCATGGCTCGACCTCAGCCGTTCATCTGGGAATCAACGGTTGGGAGGACTCCATCCCTAATTCTCTGCTCCGAAGCTTCCAGACGTCCTGGTCTCCTCGCCATGGCATCTCGATCTTGAGCTCCGGCCCACAATAGCCTGCGCGTGGCGGTTCTTCGTCTCTACAAGACGAACCCGTGCCGAACCGGTTCTTGACGGCGGGGAGGATCGACGGCAGCCGACCATGGAGCTAGGCGGCTGCGGCTTCGAAACAAATGGCGAAGGCGGGACTTCAACAAAGCGGCACGCCGGCGCGTGCGCAAGGGAGCGAGAGAGAAAACAAGGCTTGTCTCGGGATTTGAGGTTCGTCACCTTCCTGCGACTCCACTCCGCTCGATGGATTCTCGACCCGAAGGCAGGGGAAAGGGAGATCAGCGGCGGCGGATCGGCAAAAAGAGGTGGCGACGCTGACATCTCGGCAGCCGGCACGAGTCCGTGCGATGTATTCATGGATTCGGGAAAACGACGCAGGAGTGCAGGTGGCGTCGGCAAAAGGGTTTCGGGGTCGGGGGTGGCGGCGTGATACCCACGCTTTCGATTCCCGACAGGCGACATATGGCGGCGTGGGACCCACGCTTCCGAGTCCTGACAGATGGTGGCGCTGCCAGATGGGGCTCGGTTCCAGGCTCCCTGGCTCGTGGGTCCGGCTCTGCTGCTTTCGTCGTGGGATCCTGGTGTCTGCTGGGCTGAATGGGCCGCGGCCTAAAAGCACAGATATAAAGATGGCAACGGTACAAACCCGCTGGGTTTCACAAAACAAAACCCATGCCCGCGAACAAAAATGCTACCCGTTAAGAAACCCATGACCAATCATGGGTATAATTTTATGCAAAAACCCATGCCCATTCGGGTCTCAGGTACCCAACGAGTTGCCCATGAAAATATTTTTAGACCAAAGGGTCTCAATTTTGTGACTACTAGATACGTTTCAATATATCGAACTAGTATCCAAACTCCTATTAAATATAATTTATATATATTGATTATTTGAGGACACAAATCCTCCAAGAAATATATATATTAGTATATTAATCTTCAAAGCAAGAGCCTAAGGACATGTGAAAGCATCTAGGCCCCTAGTTGGATTTCGGTGATTAATGACGACACGAGATTACTATGACTAACGTGTGTTTTGCAAAGGCAATTTGAGTTAGGTCATGGTAATAGAAATTGATTGGACAATTATGGTTGTCATGCCCCTGTCGATGGAAATCATTTCGGTTTTCAAAGGATGGACGACAAGGTTAATGACGGACTAGTTCTAAGTATCGTTTGGTGTTGGAGAGACACTTAGAGTAGTTTAGGACTTTGTTTTTCCTTTGGCCGTACTATTAAGGGGGGTATGGACGAGTAGCTTGACCTAGATGAGTCTAGTGGGTTAGATGTGGTGCACACTTGTCAAACCTAGCACTGGGTAGCTCAGGAATAGCTCTAAGATCAATTGGAGTCAACTTCATTCACATAGGATTTCGAGTTGGAAGTGAATGGAGGGTCAAATGACTGACCGGACACTGGTCTGATAGTGACCGGACGCTGAAGGGTGAGTCTAGTCAGTTCATTTAATCAACTGCAGTTGTCTGGTACTGACCGGACGCTGAGTGGAGGTGCACCGGACGCTAGGGTACCTACGTCTGGTCTACTCCAGAGAGGTTCTGGAGAGACTTTTTCTTGACCAGACGCGTCCGGTGGGTGCTGACCGGACGCTAGTCAGAGTCCGGTACCAGACCAGACGCTGAACAGAGAAGTGACCGGACTCTGGGTGCCAACGTCCAGTTAACATCAGTAAGGTTCCAGAGAGGGTTTTTGATGACCAGACGCGTCCGGTGGGTGCTGACTGAACGCTGGTCAGAGTTTAACGGCTCTCTCTGATACAATGGCGGGTACAACTGATCGGAGCATCCGATCACCCTGATCGGGAGCGTCCGGTCAGCCCGCAGAATGCTGACTCAGTCTCCAAACGTTATGTTTTGAATGAGGGGGTATAAATACTTACTTCACTCGTCCATGGGAGGTCTTTTGCCTATTTGTTCAGCTGAGAAACACCTTTGGAGTACCAGGGAGAGCAAGATCCTAGTGGGATGATTGAGATTTTATAATCCAAGATTAAGGACCTCATTAGTGCATAGAGAGTAGCAAGTGTGCATCCACTCTTCTCAATAGGCTTATCTTGATCAAGTGAGAGTTTATGCTTGTTACTCTTGGTGATCGCCATCACCTAGACGGTTCGGTGGTGATTGAGAGCTTGGTGATCATCCAACAGAGGTTGTGGATGACCCAAGTCAAGTTGTGAGCGGTTGTGGGCGATTCACCATGACGGAGTGTCAAAGAATCAGCCCGTAGAGAGCACTTGATCCTTGCGCGTATCAAGGAGGAGTTACACCCTTGCGCGGTTGCTCCAACGATGACTAGTGGGGAGTGACGACTCTCTGATACCTTAGAAAAACATCGTCGTGTTCCTTTCCCTCTCTTTACATTGATCATTTACATTTGAGCAATTCATTTTATGTCTTTAAATTCCTAGAATTGCCATGCTAGAGTAGGATTTGAACCTAGGGTGTAAAAATTTTGTGCGGGAGAACAGTAGAAACACATTCTAGGCACAAGAGAGTGAAATGAGCTAAGTGTAGTGCTTAATTGTTTCAAAAATTTAGAATTAGCCTAATTCACCCCCTCTTAGGCATCTTGATCCTTTCAACATGGAATGATGAAAGTTCCAACTTTACGCTTTAGCGGTATCCCTAGGCCCTAATGAATAGCTCACGTTCAAATTCTTTTGGAAGCACTATGAGTGAACGATATGATTAGTTTGCATTGTCTAGTTTAGTATGATTACTTAAATTTTGCTCCAAATCAATATAATTATATGATTGTGTGGCATAGTGCTGCTACGATACACCGGATTTAAAAAAACTCATGGGTTTATGGGTTTGGGTACTATATCCCCAGACCCACGTCCGCAAACCCGCTGGGTCTGACTTTTTACCCATTAGCAAACCCATGGGTAGAGAAATTAACCCATATCATTACCCTAATAGGGTAAAAACCCATCGGGTTTCGGGTCTCGGGTATCCATTGTCATCTTTAAGCAAGGAGGAGGAGACGTGAGAAAAAGGGCAGCCAGGAGCTGGGCTCGGCCCGGTTGAAAACAAGGGAAGGCCGATGGAGTAGCTGCGAAAAAAATAAAAAGATTTTTTTTCTTTGCTGAAACTCCATAAAAGATGAAAGGAACAGAAACAGTTTTTCATCAACAGAAAATTCCGAAAACTTGCTTCTATACACACAGAAAATTTCAGAAACTGAGCTAAACATACACACAAAAAAACATGAAACGGCATGAACGCATCAAATATACCATCTGATTTAGTTTAGTTTAGAAAATAATTATTTCTTGCACAACTATTCATGAGAGCCATCAAGGTTGGACAAATTGGAAAAGTATGCAGAAAATGTTGAATTAATTTGTATGTGATATAAACCAGCGACTTCATCCCTCGTCCAATCCTTCTTTAGCACACCTATGCTTAATAGTAATGAAAAATTGTGTTCCGTTTTTTACACTTACCGCTAAAACTTTGCATGAATACTCCCTCCGTCCAGTAAATTTTGCAATTTTAGAGTTCAAATTTGTCCCACAAATTTTGCAATTCTAGAGTAGTATCATGACAGGCTATCACATCAAGTGGGACCCACGTAAAGACCCTCAGCCTGTTCGGGAGGCCGTATCGTATCGTGGATTATTTACTGCTGGCTGGTTTGGTGTGAGAGAAAAACATTGTTCCTGGCTGAAAATTTACGATCGTTTACGAGCAAGCGAACAGGCTGCCTATACGCCATCTGCTCTCCCTCAGGTCACGGAAGTCTCTTGAACGCTAAAAAAAACACGACCGACAGCCAAACCTCACGCGAACGCCCTCAGCCACTCGTTTCATCTCCCCCATCCGAGACTCCCCACATCCTACTCCGTATCCTCCGCTGCCGAGCACTCCCGCACCACCTCATAGCTCCTTCCCCATCCATCCACAATCCTGATCCCGAACCCTAATTCACGCTCAAATCGAACTCCATCCCTGCAGATCTCCTTTCCCCGTTCCTCTCCTCTAGTAGCTCCTCATCCTCGACGCGCGCATTGTCTTGTTGAATATATATGGTTTTTCCTCTAAGTTCTCGTGGCCATTTTTGAACAATAGCTTTTAGAACTTTACCAATCAGGTACGACCTCATAGTAGTTCGATCCACCTTAATAGGCTTAGTGACTTGGGCCCCTCTCCCTCTATTACGGCTTCTTCGTTTTGCTCCTTCCTGCAGTAAATGAGAGACAAAGTCGGGATAACAAATGAGTACCAAAAATTGATGTAAGATAGCGAAACAAGTGTACTATGCTGTACCTTTCTAACAAATGGCCACACTCCTAGTTTCACATCAAAAATGCAATTACCTGCATCATTATATATAGGTCTTCCAACTGCTGCTAGGAACATAACTTTACCAATGAAATTCTTATTCTGCACAGTCCTATGTGGGTTATCCTCGTCTGGTAGCATATAATATTTCCTGTACGTGGATGTTGTGTTGAACCACTTCTCGTCTATATGGATGATATTGTCCATTTCAATGAACTTGGGTTCATTTGGCAATGTCCGTTTATCTAACATGGAAATACACCATTGTAGCCTCTCTTTCTTATTTTCTTCCCTCAACAATGGCTTTAGTGTGCTAGAGTGGCGTCGTAGTAGCCCTTCTTTGAACCACGTATGTAGAGTGCTCTTTTTTACACCGATGGCTTCTGCTAGAGATCGAATAGTGCTCCTCCTATGCAAGGGAACACTAAGAATCTGAGATAGATCTACTTGTACCTTTTTGCGCCCGCACTTCTTGGGCATTCTTGATCTAACATCCACTGGCCTTCCTTGTGCACGGCATTGCTTCGCTCTCTGCCAAATGCGTTGCACTCGATACCTACTCACTTTGAACAATTGAGCAACTACAGTTGTGCTTTTTCTCTTTAGTCTTCCATGGTTGCTTCTCTTAAGCAATGCTTCATAGATTTGCTGTCGTTCGGCATCTGTCAAATTTCTGTATGGACGTGCTCTATTCTGAGTAGCATGATGATCTTCTTCAACATCTGAGTCCTCCAACTCCTCTTCATCGAAGTGTACCTCCACAGCATTAGCATACACACCATACTCGTGCATGTCGTCCATCATGTCTACAAAAAAGGAATTACAAGGTGAGTTATTGTAGAGCAGTTGGTTAAGATTTGAAGATCAATTTAACTGACATGAGTTACAAAAACCAATCAGGTCTGTTGGATTAGGTGCATTGAACATTAGATATTTAATGTCCTTTTAGTAGTAATCTGTACCCATTATGATTACAGCATATATGAAGGAAACCCCTTAATGTTTGAACTATTCAATTCAACGTGCTTTGGAAAATTAAATGAAAAAGGATTGATGATGGTGTACTCACTGATAACTTGCTGCATCTCTTGTTGCTGCTCAGAAACTTCAATGTTGTGATGTTCTTCAACATCCGAGTCATCCAACTCCTCTTCATAGAAGACTATGTCCTCAGGGTCAGTGTGAACACCATACTCATCCATGGCCTCCACCATGCCTACAAAAGAATGAAATGGTGAGTTGTGGAGCAATTGTGTAGGAGTATTTCTTAGTTCAATTTTCGGTTCACTTATGAGTGTTGGTACAAGTAAATAATTATTGGTATAAGCGATGAACTGTAACTGCTGTTAATTTTCTATATTGGAGAACTGTAACTGCAGGCGTATTCAGCCATTGAAAAGAAAAAGGTTAGCAGGTCGTAAGCTTACTGTGAACTTGATGTATTTGTCGCTGCAGATCAGAAGGTTCAAAGTTTATATCAAATTCATGTGGACCACCAAAGATGAGACATGCATCTTGCGGATGCTCTTCCTGTACTCCAACTACTGCAATGAGGTGAGGCACAATATGTAATTCAAGTATGATTCTAGTTTTAAGTAGATAATTAAAATTGAGCTGGTTCTTATTGTTGTCTGAATACAATCAATAGAAAAAGAATTACCTTCATGATGTTCGTGTTCTCCCTCGGAAGCATAAACGTTGAGATCGATGACATGCATACCAAGGCGTTCATTGTGATGAAGATGTAGGGGCTGACCTTGGAAATGGGCTTCAACTGCATAAACTTGATCTTGCTCACATGAGAGATTTTGTCTTCTTGCTCATATGCAGGTTTTTGATTGAGATCAGGTAAGAGCTCTCCATGTTGATCTGGAAGTTGGGCTTCATCTTCATGAAGTTGATCTTCCTGGAGATGAGCGATTTCATCTTCCTCATGTGCAGGTTCTTCATTGAGATCAGGTAAGAGCTCTCCATGTTGATCAGGAGGAATGTTGAGATCTATGGGCATGGCTGATGATGAAAATGGCTTACAGGCTGATGGAGGGGAGGCTGGTGTGAGTGTTGCAGGGAGAGCTTATACAAGGGGATGTGGGGTGGCACAGGCGGGAAATCACTTGGAGATCACAGGCGGGAAATCACTTGGAGATGGTTCAAATTTTGGACACCGCGTGGATCATTCTCAGCCAAAAACTAGTGTTCATGGAAGCTTTGTTTATTTTTTCTCTGTCTCCAGAGTCTTCTGGCCATGTTGTGCCAACCTTTGTGTAAAGACACGTGTAACACCAGCTACAATTGTTTCTAGGGCCATATCCAGTGCAATGATTATGGAACTGAACTCTGGTTTAGTATGTCAGAGCAATAGTAGGGGTATTTTGGTCATTTGCCTTGGTGCATTGGTACCTCCTCAGGTCTTACAATTGCAAAATTTACGGGACGGAGGGAGTATTTGCTATTTTGGCATCGAAATGTTTCTAGTTTAAAAGTTACTGTATTAACTACAAAGTTGTTCAGTCTCATCAAGAGCTATAATTTTGTGTCCAAGTTAGTATTATTCTTTTTATACTCTTTTTGTATCTCACTACAGGCCGCACATAAATACTAGTTTTCGTGGTTTTAACGTAGAAACTCGGTTTTGTTACAAATAAGTGACTCCTTGGGTTGGCATAAGTCAACCTTCCAATCCGTAGTTTTGTACTCCCTCTGTCCCATTTTTAAAGTCGTTTTAGCCTTCAATGAGATGCAATAAAGATTCTCTAAACCAGGATGGTCATTGTGTCCATATGCATAGATGAATATCTGAACCTGGACACTTCAATGCAGCGCTAGAACGTCATTAGTACCGGGACAGAGGGAGTATTACTTTTTACACTTTGAGTTTTGATATTTGAAAATGGTACGGGTAGTTTGTCTTGATACATAGTATAATAAAAACATATTTTTGCTATAATTTATAATATTTTGTAGTAGACAATACTAGTCAAAGTTGCTTTGGAGACTAGATCTCAATATATATATTCTAAAATGTAACTTATTTGTGATTATTACAGAGAGTAAAATTGAAATATTGATTCAGCTTAAACTAGAAGGCAAAGTAAATCGATCAAACTTTAATTTATGATGCCGAGTAAGGTTGACTCTGGACTTCCTTCGAGGGAGTAAAATAGTGGACTCACAACTGCAGCTCACATATTTTTGTAACAATATTTTCACCGCTAGTTTATTAAAATTTGTTTGTGATAGCTTTCATCACCGGTTTGAAAGATGAACCGGCGGTGTAAATCATTTGTTTACAAATTGATAATACTCCCTGTTCCCCAAAAATTTGATAATACTCCCTTTGTTGCAAAATAGATGATCAAATAGCATTCAAATTTTGTCCCAAAACATTTGACCATCTCACTCTTCAATACATATTTTCTTTTTTCAGTATATCTTTCTCTTTTCCGAATATATCTCTATCTCTACTCCTTGACGAGCATTTTGGTCTTTTGGCTTCAGCACTGCTTTCTGTGAGAGATTTAAAACGTCATCTAATATGGAACAAATAGAGTATATTATAATATAAATTGGAATATAATATAATTTAAATTATTGGTTAAAATCTAGTTTTGGAGACTATTGTAACAAAAAAAATATAGAACCTTTATTTCAAAATAATTTGCAGCTTTGACTTTTACTATTCACATTGTGACCAACATATTATTTAAATATTCAGTTAGGTAAACGTGAGAAAGATATCGTTGCATCTGTGATCAAAATTACTTTAAATATTTCATATAAATTCTATTGGTTTGTGCATAAATATTCATGTTAAAGATGAGCGGTCAAATATTAAATAGTAAAGCCAAAGTTGCCATGAGATTGTGAAAGAGATATTGTAGTATATCTTACACCATGGTGACGATGGCATCTGTTCGACGAGTACTTGTTAGTTTCTAATGGGCTCGTTCGGTATAGAGAAAAGTCATAAACTAAGTTATAAAGGTTTAGTTAAAACTTGAAATATATACTTTGCTAAAATGAGCTCAAGAGCAGTTCTAATGCAAATACCTCTTAACTAGTAGTAGAACAAAACACAACACAGAGTGAGCACACTAGTTGAAGGTGTGACCCTGATGAGATCGAATGATTTGGTTTGGTACATCCAACGGTTGTGTGAAAAAAAAATTCTTTTATCAGTTAGCCATAGAGTTGTGAAGGGTTGCTCAGCATGAGCGCATGACTTGACAAGAGTAGCTTTTCATGCATACGTGCTTACGCGTTGTGAAGCTAGAGCAAATTAGAGGCATGTATTTGCATGGTGGATGCATAGACATTTCATGGGGGTGCATATGTGATGAAATTTTAACCAAACTCACTGATTTTGCATTTTTTTGGGGTGCATGTGCACCCCCAAACTATAGTGTAGCTTCACCCATGGGTACACATTGTTTGCTGCATTTTTTTCTATGCACCCCCAAACTATAGTGTAGCTTAGCTTCACCCATGGGTACACATTGTTTGCTGCATTTTTTTCTATGCACCCCCAAACTATAGTGTAGCTTCACCCATGGGTACACATTGTTTGCTGCATTTTTTTCCTGCATATTGGGCACACAAGACCTTATATCGAGTAATGCTGGGAAGCAGGAATCCATCCGCCCGGACGACGCTCGCCCTAGTACTCCGTTTCACGCGCTTCAGTGCTTCACGGCTTCTCTAAAAAAACAGCGTCACTTGCCTTCTCCATCGCAGGGGCCGCCCGCCGCGGCCTTCTCTAGCACGGCGACGACGCACCAGGTCCCTTCCCATGCTGCTCCGTACGCCCACGCCGCCCCCCCCCCCATCATCCAGCGTCGCGTCCCCATCCACATCGCTCGTCGCGGAAGGGGGGCAGGGGAGGCCTACGCATGTGCCCCCATCCACCTCGCGCCATCGGCAGGAAGGGGAGGCCTACGCCACCGCAGTTCCCTACCAGGTAGGTCATGGCCACCGACGACATTGTGTTTCAAGTGTTTCAAACGTTTTCAGACATGCTGCAAGCCTATGTTTCAAGTGTTCGGATGTTGCAAAAGTAAATCGGGACGTTGCATATATTGCAATGGTTGTACACGTATATTGCAAGAGTTTGTTCCCAATGTTTCATTTGTTTTTTAGACGTACGTTACAAGTGTGTTTATCAGTATGTTGCATATGTTTTACACATATGTTGCAAGTGTTTTATCTGGATGTTGTCTATGTTTGTAGTGGTTTTCAAATGTTTTTCAAGTGCTTTTGCAAGTGTTTCAGACGCATGTTTCAAGTGTTTTATCTGTCTTCTTTTGTATGTTGCAAGTGTTGCATATGAATATTTTAAAATTAGATCGGTATGTTACGCATGAGATGCGCGTGGAAAGCGGAAGGGGGCTTGAGTGGCACCTGCACGCAGTCTTGCGGGCTGGCGACGTCCGGGTCGCTCGCTCGCAAGTCTGACGCTACGGCACTCGCTTGCTTGCAGCGCGGGCACCATCGGACACTAGCGTCTTAAGATAGTCCGGGACTCCGGGTGCTAGCAGGTCCAAAATTAAAATGCATGTTTGCTCAACGGTACAGCAAATTAATCACTAGTACTACTTTGAATATCCTAGCCAGTACTCTTAGTCCTCTGCGCCCATGCAATTCCATCTGAATGCTGTGAAGGGAAGAAAACGTGTTGCATGCGGAGCCGTATAACCCCGCGCCGTTGCAACGGCACGGGCGACGCTTAAAATTCATTTGCCATCCAAGCATCAACATGTAAGGGAAGACACGGGTTGCACACACCACCCTTTTGTTTTCTTATTAAATTTTATTAGAACAGGATTTTGTCTTCCATTAGTATCTGTATCCACAGAATTCTATCTCCATGTGTCGCCCGCGCCGTTGCCCCTCATCCCGCGTCTGCCTGCCCATGTCTCACCTGCTGTGCCCACCCGCAAACACGTGGGGCCCACCAACGCTAGTGGGCACCGCCTCCATCTGCGCTTACTTCCCGCACTTGACACCGAGGCGAGACAGTAGAAAGGCGACGAGGGAGATGCAACACCTAATCTAGTTTTGAAACACCCAGATACAACAATTGCAACGTACATCTGAAAACAAATGAAACATTTAAAATATGCGTCCGAAACACTTGCAAAAACACCAAAAAAAACTTAAAACCATTGTAAACATACGCAACATCCAGAAAAAAAATACTTGCATCATATGTGCGAAAACATAACATCCAGATAAACACACTTGCAACATACGTCGAAAAAAAAACAGATGAAACATTGAGAACAAGAGCTTGCAACATACATGTACAACCATTGCAACATATGCAACATCTCGATCTACTTTTGCAACATCCATATGAAAACACTTGCAACATGCATCTGAAACATCTGAAACAATTGAAACATACTCTTGCAACATGCGCTTTCAACGCAACATCTCCTTGCTACGTTGTGTGGAGAGTGAAGCTGACGTTGTGTGGTGTTCACAGGAGCATCATGTGGAGAGCGAAGCTGATGGCGGCGTCTAGCGCCACGTGCTTCGAGAAGGCGTGGTGGCTGCACTCGTGCGCGACCACCCACGCGTTGTTGAGCCTGCAGCCCTGTGCCGCCTAGTAGAGCGGCCATGCCACCAGGCGTAGCGCACCGCTGGTGGGGAGCGACGGGATCACCACCAGCGCCATGTAGAGGAGTGCGGCGACGGCGGAGAGGTCGCGTAGGAGGTAGGACGAGAACCTGTGCGCGGAGCACCAGAAGCAATGCAGCTAGATGGCTCGCTTGATGTCGGCGCTCAGAGGCGACAGGCGAGCAGATAAGAGCGATGAAGAGGAACGAGTGGATAGGAACGAGTGGATGAGCAGTTTTTTAAAAACGAAGGAGTGTGGGTTGTTGGGCTGGCGTGCGGCTCACCAATGGAGCGTCTGGCGGACGGACACCCGCCCCAGAGAATTACCGTATTTCTTAGCTCCATCCGTTAGTTGATTAGGACCATTGGGCTTTGGGATCACCTAATAAA